GGGGCTCCTGGCCTTACTTCTAGGAGCAAGAAGCTAGTAGTAACAAGTGCATCGCTTCTAGTAACAGTGGGTTGAACTACGAGCGGCCGACTCGTCGCCCGGGACGGTTCGTCGGGCTCTTTATGAAGAGGTCGTGTTGCTCGGGCGGTTTTGAGGTGTTTCCTGTGGAGAAACGGTGTTTGTTCTTGTTTCTAATCGCAAACATTGTTACTACTAGTAAGGCACTTGTTACTAGAAGCGATGCAATTGTTACTACTAGTAAGGCACTTGTTACTAGAAGCGATGCACTTGTTACTACTAGCTTCTTGTTGCTAGGATAAAGAGTTTCTGATTTGTCATTGACGCGTCCCTCTCTTTGACTTCTTTCCCGGATGTGTATCTCGAGAAGCCAGAAGGACGAATGGGAAAGAATCCACCGAAAAATGGTTTCCAGCAAGTCACTCAGCATCCTTTGAATCTATCCACAGGCCCAGGGATGTCCCATCCACCTTTTTCCTGCACCCTTTTTGCCGTGTTTGTCTCGTTGGGTTTGGGTGCATGTTCGGTACGCGTTCGCTATGGCCTGAGGAGTTTGGATGGCACTCGCTTGGAGACTCTCAAGGCCAAAAAGGCCCGATCAAGTGCCCCGTTCCTAGCGTCCGATCGCTCCTAGTAGTAGAGCCAGGAGCCCCTACTGGCGAACACTGTTCCTAGTAGTAAGGCCAGGGAGCCCCTAGTAGCTTCTTGTTACTAGTAGCAAGGCCAGGAGCTACTGCTATCTCTCTCGTTCCTTCGCTATGTCGCTCGTCTTCATGCACAGTGATCATGTGCCCATGTGAGGATGTTTGTGACGCCAGGATATCATCCTTCTAGTCCAAATTTCCGAGCAAACAGGTGCGGCGACGCTTTTACTGCCCCTGTCGGGTCCAAAAGCGCACGCACTTCTCGTGTGCGGTGCTTCTGCCGTCGAAGGAAGCAAGTGAAGCAACATCGGCTCCGTTTTGGTTCAGTTCAACGTCAAGAGAAAGAAAGAAAGAAGGAAAGAAAGAAAGGAAGGAAGGATGAAGGAAGGTTCAGAAGTCTAAAGAATTAGATTTAAAACACATGAAAGAGAAGAAAAGTCCGGACTTGCTGGAGGTGGACACAAAATGGGGCACCCTAAAAACCCTCCATGATCAGGTCAGCACCATCCGAACCGCCAATCATATCGTGGCGAGGCCGCCGTCGGGGCTATGTGATCCCTCAACCCGCTGAGATTCACGAAGCTGGTTGGATCTCGCTCGAGGACACTCGTGTTGAACAAAAACATGTGTGTTTTCAAATTCAATCAAGGTGTGTTGTTGTTTGTGATTCCTTTCGTTTTTTGCCTATTTGCTGGAGGATCTTCGGAGGATGTTTCTTGCCACAAGTAATTAGCTGTGCGACGACTTGAGGATGTCCAGCGGGGGAAATCCATGCAGCCGCCCTTGCTCAGACTGGAGCTACCAGGCTTTGGACTGGATTCCTCAGACAGCAAGATGAGCCGATAAAGGAACACACTATTGCACTATATATAATTATATATATTTGTTTTCTCTATGTTTTTAGATATATTTAAGTTCCTCATTCTCTCTCATGCCACATATATCTTGATGTATTGGGTATGTCACATGTCTTCTTTTATACTCTTTTGTGGTTTTAGTTTTTCTTTTAGTCTTGCATTAACAGGCTCTCTTGAATAGATGCACATGAAGATCTACAAAACGAGCCTGTCGCCAGGTTCATGGGATCTCAAGGCACGCTACTGCGTGCAAAATCCTGCTACGTTGCGAGCAGGTGAGGATGACATCTGCTCAAAGTGTTCATGTCCAGATTGCCTCCTGAGTCACTGAAGACGCCTTGTTCGTTTGGCTCACACCTGCTTGCTTTGGTAACCAAACGAACAAGGCTAAGGAGACTCATGATGGTTTGTCACCTCAGGAGTCCGTTTAGTGTGTGTGTGACACACTCTGGCGCCGATGAATTCTAGGCACTCGTTTCTATCCAGAATCTGTGGTTTTGATTCTGGATATCATGTCATATCACCATTTATCAAACTCCAATTTTCATCTCGCATGAAACCCCTTCCGGCCACATGGTCTTGAGAGAGTTGCATCAGGACCAGCCCTAGACAGCGACTGGATCGGCGAATTAAACGCAGGATGCGAGGAGCTTTCCTTAGAATTCAAGCGATTTTGTTTTCTTTTCTTTGGTGTCCCAAGAAGTCTGCTGTTTTCAATTAATATAGCGTTCTTTTGGAACGCCCTTTGTTTGAGGTGCTCCTCTTGGACTTTGGCGTGACTTCTGGTGGTTCCAGTGGACAAATTGGAAAGGCCCAGCTCGGGCTGGCGTTGTCTTCGGTCCCGCCTTTGGTCGCCAACCGAACGTCGAAGCAGCGCACCGGTGTTTTTTTTCGTGTCTAGGCGCGCCTTAGAGCCCTGGTCTTCGCGGGCGACAAGATTGGATGGCGGGGGCCTGGATTTCGAGTGTTTCACGGATTTCGGGCAAACGCATTGAATGCATCTTGGAAGCCATCACTACTAAGTTGGATGGAGGCCATTGCTGCTAGGTTGAAGGCCATCGCTAGTAGGTTGGAGGCCGCTTAGCCTGATACGTTGAACATACTTCAACTCGCTCTCCGTGGTGGGAATGTGATCCAAGGGGGCCAGACGTGGGGGATGGTTGTAATGACCAAACCCTTTACGGTTTGAACGATGTGATAGTGCCAGACATGCCAGGATGAGCCCTGAAACGGGCTCCGGGGATCACTTGCTGAAGCCGGTGAACCTGCTCAGCAGAAAGGCACCAAGCGAAGGAAGATGCAGAAAACAAGTGGGCTAAAAGGCAGTGCTCTTTGCAGGTTATGGTGGAAGAGCTTCGTTAGAACGGAACGTGCAAGAATCACACCCCTACTATTATTGTGTCAAAGGTTTATCTTTTTGCCAGCTGGAAGCGACTGCTTGGATCAGCTGGGGAAATCCAAGCAGCCTGACTTTGCTCGCAGGTAGTGGACATGCACAAGCAGACCTTGCGCTCATCGGGCTCAGGCATCACTGGCAGTGGGGTTTGCCAATTCCAGTCAATTCCGAGTGAAGATCATCCGTCTCAGGTGTGCGCAAGTCCTATCAGCAAGGTGGCAACAATCCATGGGAGGTGAGGTGTGCACTTTCTTCCGATTCTCAGCTTCTTGGGTTTTCTTGGGTTCTGGTTTAAAAGGTCTAAAGCACGGAAAGAAGGATTCAAGCTTGCAAGGGGTAGAAAAGAAAAAGAAGAGAAACATCGTCATAGGAAAGGACAAAACGAAGAAACCAAAAATGATCAAAACTCTAAGGGAAATCACGACAAGAAAGAAACATAAGTGACGACAAACAACGGAACATGTGATTTTCCTGGAGTGAAAGACGTCGCAATAACTGAAAGACTCACCAAAAGCGGCCAAAAAGGTCTAGGCATTCAATACCCGGTTCGAAAGAAATTCGATCCGTGTCCTTTTTTAGAGTAATCCAAATTCACAAGCCATTTTCCGTTTTAATCTAAAAGAAACACTTTACCTTGTTGACTTCAGCTTGTTTTCAACATGCTTTCTTTCTCTGGTTTCTTCCCATTTGTTTGTTTCCTTTCAGCGGCCCCAGGCCGGTGCAACCTACCGGATGTTGGAGAAGACCCCCTTGCGGAGCGGCTCAGACCTGAAGAGCTCCGAAGTGGGCAAGGCCGGGTAGCAGGAAGGGTACAGAAGAAGCCATCCTCCAACCGAATAGAGCGTCCTTGCTCCTAGTAGCGATGCCCTTTGCTCCTAGTAGCATCCTTGCTCCTAATAGCAATGGCCTCCAACCTAAGAGCGATGGCCTCCAACGGAGTTCTCAAGTGGAGCTTTTCATGTGTTTGTGGCTCAAGTTTGGCATGGTGCTGTCATGTGCTGTCCTCAGCCTTTTTCACCATGCTGACTCATAAGGTGTTCATAGCTGCGAAGTCATGAACCCGAAAGGTTCAGGTTTGGAATGCCCCAGGTAGTTACTCAAAAAGGTAACGTGAAAGAGTACATGAAAGCTGTCAGGTCACATGAGTTTTGTTCTTTTTAGATCTCCAAATGCTTCCGTAGCCATTTTGGCTCAAGAGACCGCAGCGCGCGCCCCACCCGTGAGGCACATCGAGAGATGTCAGGCACGGTGTGCCAAGTTGGAGGCAATGCTGAAGGCAGTGCACGGAGAAATTCAGGGTCTTACAGACCAGGTCGCGGCTGAACAACGGGTGAAGGACTCGGCCCTCTAAAGCCACACCAGCAAGAGGGCGCAGCACAAGACCGCGTGTTCATCTGTCTCAGGTGTGCGCAAGTCCTATCAGCAAGGCTGACACTGTGACGATATAGTTGAGACAGTGTCCAAACCATCGCCTACCCTCACTTGGGCTTTGCAAGGTGCTTTCCTCTTGGCTGGGGGACTACGCGCCGGAGGTCAATAGCAGCTTTAGCCATCCCACTGCACTGACAATCGGTATGTGTTTCGGTATGAGCATTTTGCTGATTTGGTGCGAATACACAGGAATTGATTCTGCACTCCTCATGGACGCCTGCAGTTTCCGCGTGAGAAAGCAAGACTACAAGGCAGAGCTATCTTCTTTGTGTACTTGGTTTTGAGCCCGGTTGGCATGAGAGCCTCTCCACACACGCCATCGTGGATCGCTTGTACTCGCAAGAAGCTGGTCTTGAGTCAGATGAAGAAAATTTTGTGACAGGGTTTGACGTTTTCATCGATCCGCGTGATTTGACACCGGACTTGATGGATGGTCGCCAGGTGAGCATTCACCAGTTCACTCCGGTCGAAGGAAGGATGATCTCTGTCTTTCTCTGTGTGGAAACCAACGCAAGATCATGTCAGGTCTGTTTGACCTGCCTGTATCTAATTCTATTCTCACGGTACTAGACCTGGTTGAACAATGCCAGTCACGAGCCAGGTGTATTGTGTCCTTTACTGGAATGATCTTTCTACTTGACATCCAGCAGGTTCTCCAAGCAGGTAGCAGAATAGACATAGAGGTTCGCCTTGAGGAGACATGCGCATCTACGAAGCTTTTCTGCAAGTGGTCGATCCGCGATCAGGTCCTACTGACCTGCGCTCTGAGATTGAGGAAACTGGTCTTACGCAGGTGTCTGCAGGTTCTCGTGATACCAGACAGTATAGAAGTCCTACTTGGAGCATTGCGGAGAAATCGGCGAGAGATGTCTTTGGTTCGATCCTTTGCTGTTCATGTTGTTGCCGGGGATGGATATTGTCCTACGAGATGTCTTGGCACGGTGTTGTGATTCTCATTTGATCGATGAGAGGACTTTTCTCGACTGGTTAGATTCGTTGCCACGTACCTTGCGTGGGCCTGCCCGGTGCTCTCGCGCTAGAGTCCGTCTTGACAAGGACATCATCGGCAAGTCCCTTGCTTTGTGAAGTACAAGCCTGAGGGACTCCCCTGGGTACAGCAGATAGTCCATGTTACTTCGGTCAAACCAGTCCGAGATTTTGTTCGATTCTTTGACTGGCAGACCTTTGAGGTGGCCTGGATTCCTGCCACTGTACGTGTCATTCAGCAACTAGAAGATGTATTCAAAGAATGCAACCCGAATCAGTTTGAGTTGAATGCCTATGACAATCTCTTACAAGAACAAGAGATTGCATCTAGGATGACCTTTCAGTCTCCTAGTGCCACTATTTTATTCTTCTGACAATGAGGACACAGAGACAACTTTCGTGCAACTCTCTTCTCAAGCTCATCCGGACTTTGTTCCTTGAGGAGATAGCGCTGCAACCCTGTATATGAGCTGCTGGCCCTGCAGTCAAATGAAGGTGGAGACCGCAAAGCAAGCTTACTATCAGGTCGCAAGAGACGTTTTGTGGTTCAGGGACTGGCCTGAGCCCAAGCAACAACACTATCTTCGGAGCCTTACTTGTCCTCCACGCATGAAGAAATTGCTTCGTGGCCGCTTTTGTTCTTTAAACCCGCTTGAGAGCTGCCAAACAATTACGAGTAACTACACAGTCCCTTTTTGCGAACGTCTGGTGTACACAATGGGAGTCCACAACCTGTTGTGGGCGTTTGCATTTTGCGACGTCGTCACGGAGCTCAGGGAAGAATTCCAGCAGTCTCACTGTCACATAGCAGTGAACCTGCCCCTCGTAGCTCCCTTCAACATGGTGAACTGCTCTAGAGAGCATTTGCGGGCGTCGGCGTGGAGCTCAATCTCGGCAAAGGCAAGACCGAGGTGCTGTGGGCCAAGTTTGCGTTGACCCGACGGTATGTGATATCAAGCTTCCTTTCAAGACTACGCTGGCCAGATGCAGCAAATTCACATTGCGCAGACCTACAAACATCTTAGCAGCATTTTAGGACACGAATTTCGTGCTTCCTGCTGGTCCTTCTACACGACCAGGATTTCAAACGGTTCGCTACCATATTCTTCCGTATGTTACGAATGATGCGATCGATGGATGCCAAGAAATTGAGGTCTCCAATGAAGACGTACTCGCCAGCTTATGGCTCCTGCGCCCAAGAACTATCTTGCGGATTGAGGCTTCGACGTCTGCAAAAGATTTGCCAATTTGCCGATGAATCCGGGGGCTTCAGGAGGCCGAATACTGTTGGATCAAGCTTGCTCACCGCGATCTGGTATGGTTCAAAAGCGCCTGCCTGGTTCAAAGCGCCGTTTGATAGCATCGAAACCATTGCACCAGTCCTGGCAACACGCGCTAGAGAGTGGAAACTTGCCCTCAACAACTTCGATGGGCAGAAGCGCTTGCGTTTGAGAAGCAAGCCTTAGAACAGCTGAGAGGGATCGGACTTGAGCGGCTCGACATCTCTGGCAACACAGATGGAAAGAATGCCAAAGGAACCTTCCAGTGTGTTGACTGCAACGCCTTTTGGCACAGCCACGGCACTAGGTGTTCACTGCCATAGCGCAGGACCGAAGCCATAGCGGGCCACACTTCGTCCACCTTAGCGCGACAGATGATCTCGAAAAGGCTGCTGTGCAATACATGCTCAATCCTATTCCTGTGGATCAGTCGATTACCGACTTCCTTCACGTTGCGCAGCAAGTCATGCCTTTTCTGGCCGAAGAAGCTCGGCAGAGCATCCTGTGCGCGCGCAAGGTAATGCAATGTATGGGAAGGGCCTTAATGTTCAAAGCATACCCAATACATTCTAGACCAGAGAATGTTTCGGCTAGCAGCGAACGCAAGACGACCATTTAGTTTTAGTGGCAGAGAAGGAGATTCCAGGATGTTCAATTACTGGATCGAAGAGCCGCGTCAAGCATGGTCAGTGAAGAGTGCAACCTACTATAGACTCGAATGCCCAGGCTACTCTGCAGTTCACGGACGCTCTAATGGGAGGAAGGCCAGCGGTTCATTCGCAACGGCGGAGTTAAAAGAATACCCATCACCGTTGTGCAGAGCGATCGATGGCTCAAGCAGTGATCGACCAATCCCTGAGCAGGAAGGGTGACACGAGCCAGAGCTTTGAGGAGGTCCAGGACGAGGTCGTTATCTGTGGGGCTGAGACCGTGCTTTGCGCTGCACTGGTGCCCTCGGACCCATATTTCCTCTCTTCTATATTCGCAGATTTATTCGCAGATTTATTCGCAGATTCTGCGCGCAAGAAGAGAAACACTCCGGTCGCTTGGACTGTCGAGTGAGGTCTCACCAATTCCCCCAAAGTGGCTACTAGACTCCGTTTGCGAGCCAAAAACATTTTCCACATGCCTTTAGTTCTCATCTTTATTTAGCGCTCTGCCTTTGCAACTCGGGGGACCTGGGGGTGGAGCCATTGACTTCCATCGCAGGTCTCTGCTGGCAGGTTAGTGGCGGTCCAGGAATCCAACAACGTCGAGATCCAGGGCGGATGGTGCGCGGCCTTTGGGTGGAGTTGAGTAGCTTGGGAGTTCAGGATCCGAAGGCATCTTTGGAACGAATTATTTTAAATGAGTTTGGAGGCCATCGCTCTTAGGTTGGAGGATTTCGGAGGCCATCGCTAGAAGGTTGGAGGCCATTCTCAGTGACTGCAGCGACTTGCAAAGGTGTCCGGTGGCCAACATTGTGGTGCAGGAAGGTCCAGAGAAGGGCAAGTCTGGATGGGTCATGGAGCTTAGTTGCGCACACGCATAGGACAAAGCTACCGGCACCTGGGACCCGCAGTTTGAACAGTCCTTGAACCCGGGCCGAGTACAAGAACCCTTTGTAAGTTTCGGATTCATGATCCCACAGCTAGACACCAGGCCCTTGGGATAAGGTCCGGTGCACTGCCAAAGATGGGCATGATGTGGTGCTGCCGACATGGTGTTGTTTTAGTTGGCTTTGTTCATGGCTCAAGGTTTCTTGCTCTTAATTGGTCGACGAAACTGTTATGCCAGATGGACACACGCGATCACAATGAGTACGACAAGATCATTCAAAAGATGAGAGAGCCGTGGCCCCAAGGTCTCACCATGGCTGCCCTAATCACAATGGCCTCCAACCTAATAGCCCATTAGCGTTGTCCTCCAACCTAGCGATGACCTCCAACCTAATAGCAGTGGCCTCCAACCGAAGAGCGATG